GAAAATCCCTATAAGTTTAGACTTTCTTTAAAATAATAGCTCAAGACTAAATCTTTTTTTCATTGGCAGATTATTTTAAGGACTGCTGGAATTAGGTATAAATAAACCTTCCCACTCCTTCTAGCTCAATTTTTTGTCATGTAACAATGTTGTATTTTGGGAAGATTCAGTTGATTTTGTGTAAATACAGATGTATTAGTTTTATCTATTAGTTTTAAGTCTTTATTTAACCATTGACAATATGTCCTGTTATTATGATGTACTGACATGTAACTCAATAAATAAATAAAATAAATACAAAATCCTGAATATCTCCCTCAGTACGGGAAACATCACCACTGTCTTCCATGGTCATGACAAAATCCAGATATTGTTCAACGGTAACGGAAACATTATAATCGTCTCCCACGATCAGAGAAAAGTTATTATCATCTTCCTCGATCGTATCTTAAGTCGAATAATTATCCGGGTCCATCATCATCAAGCATTATTTTTGGATATCATCATTGTTTTCCGCGGTCACGGAAACGTCATCACCCAAATGCGCGATCGCGGCAAAATCACTAACATATCCTGTGGCAGTTTGGACATCATCACCGTCTCCCGCTATCACAGAATCGTCATCATTGTCTCCCGCGGTCACGGAAGCGTCATTGTAATCTCCCGTGGTCACGGAAACGTCATCGTCGTCACCAGCGGTCACAGAAATGTCATCGTCATCTCCCACGGTCACGGAAACATCATCGTCATCTCCCGTGATTACGGAATCGTCATCGTCGTCTCCCGGGGTCACGGCAAAGTCATCGTTGTCAACCACGGGCACGGAAACGTCATCGTCGTCACCTGCGGTCACAGAAACTTCATAGTCATCTCCCGCGGTCACGGAAACGTCATCGTCATCTCCCACGGTCACGGAAACATCATCGTCATCTCCCGTGATTACGGAATCGTCATCGTCGTCTCCCGGGGTCACGGAAAAGTCATCGTTGTCAACCACGGGCACGGAAACGTCATCGTCGTCACCTGCGGTCACAGAAACATCATAGTCATCTCCCGCGGTCACGGAAACGTCATCGTCATCTCCCACGATCACGGAATAGTCATCGTCGTCTCTCAAGGTCACGGAAACGTCATTGTCATCTCCCGCGTTTACGGAAACACCATCGTCGTCATGCGCGATTGCGGAAAAATCACTAAAGAATCACGCTTCCGTTTGGACATCATCATCGTCTCCTGCGGTCATGGAAACGTCATCCTCGTCTTCCGCTATCACGGAAGCGTCATTGTCGTCTCCCGCGGTCACGGACCCATCATAGTCATCTCCCGCGGTCACGGAAACGTCATCGTCATCTCCCGCGTTCACGGAAATACCATCGTCGTCATGCGCGATTGCGGAAAAATCACTAAAGAATCACGCTTCCGTTTGGACATCATCATCGTCTCCTGCGGTCATGGAAACGTCATCCTCGTCTTCCGCTATCACAGAAGCGTCATTGTCGTCTCCCGCGGTCACGGAAACGTCATTGTCATCTTCCGCGGTCATGGGAACGTAGTCTTCGTGCACGATTGCGGCAAATTGAAAATTCCCGGTAAAATACTAAATTCACGCATAATTCCCGGTTCAAAAAAATCACCCATAATTCCCGGTTTTCCTGGATTTCCCGGTCGGTGGACACTGAATTCCCTGAATTCTGAAAAAAATATATTTATTGTAGGCCGCCATTATGTACAGGTTGTAAAAAATGTTCAATTACACCAAACGTTTTCTTTTAACAAGACCTTTGAAATGTGACCCCTCATCATGGGGCTTTATATTTTAAAATTTGGAGTTGACCCCTATCTACCCTAATAAAAGGGGCAGGAGGACAAAATTTTAATTTCCTGCAAAAAGCAAAAAAAGTCATCATACAATGACAAGTTAAAGTTGTGAAATTTTACCTTAAGCCGGTTAATCTATTTTGGGTGTGTTAAAGACTTTTTTTACCCCTGTATTTTTTCAGTTGCGAGCGACTCAATTTTGAGCTGAATTAAGCTTTTATTCTTGCAACATTCATCTTGATTGCAGAATGAGTCTGCAAAAATAGTTCAACCAAAAATTCATGATTTCTGCAACCATTGTGATTGCTGGCTTCGACACAACTCCAGGGGACTTTCACTATTTCATCGCAACTGCAGGGGAAGTTTGATAATGTTCAGCAACCACAGGAGACGTTCACAATTTTACCAAGATTTTGATAAATAATGTACAATATTTTATAAATCAATTGTACTGCAGCATAAGCAATAAATATTTTTTTTTTATACGAGGGCTGATCAGAAAGTAAACAACACTCTGAAACAAAATAAAAAGTTTGTACAAGGAAAAATAATACTATGAAAAACATATGAAAGAGCAAATAAAATACCACCACATTGTCACCAAACATATTGAGGGATTTAATATAGTGGTAGACAAGCTTTGAAATTCCTTTGTCAAAGAATACTGCCGCCGGTGATCTCAGCCACTCAGTTACACGCAATTGGAGCCCCTTGTCGTCACTAAAGTGCTGTGCTGCTAACCAAGTTGTTATTTTGGATCAAATTTGTAACAACCCAAAACCCGTCAAGGGATAAAAATCTGATTTTTAAAGTTTCATTTAAAATTATAATAATTTTCTACGCCGTGCCCGCGTTGTCAGCGGCATCGTAGGGGCAGGCCGTCCTACGTCATCGTACGGGGGAGGAAGCTAGTTACCTACCCCGCCGCCAGGGGCGATGGCGAAGAAGGACTAGAAGACCAGACCTCAGGATCAGTTGTCCACCCGCTACCGAACCGTCAATACGCTTGCTGTTTGGAGAACAATCCAACAGTCTAATTTCCTATCTGGTCAGTTAAAGATTTCCCCCATTCCTGGTATAGTCTTAAGGCTTCAGGTTAGTGTGCTACCGAGTTGTTTTGTTTATTCTAATTTTAGAGAAGTTTTATTATTTTTATTCTATTGTGCCGCAGTCGCGTACAGTGTGCCGCAGTGTGCTACACGCTTTTTCACGTACGAGCACACTACCATTTGTCTTTAACCAGCTACGGAAATCATTTAAGTTGCCAGAACGGTTTACGTACAACTTATTCCGTTACCCCGAACCGTCTTACGTAAATTTGATTTAAGAAACCCCGGATCGACTCTGGTGATCGACCGAGTCTAATTTTTACGACACGTTTACTTTGCTGATAACCAAGTATAACGAACGAATCACTTTTAGTTAAGTCTCTAATTAATTAGGTTTACTCGCTTCACGTTATATTATCAAAAATTCTAAATTCAACCACACATATTTTTCGAATGGCTATGATGAGCACTAGATAAAGGTGAGCTAAACATTGATAGCATTGTTGTATTATTATTCTGAACCAATAAACTTGAAACGATAATTAATTAACGAACACGTTAGAGTCCTGGACTATCTCATTGTAGGCTAGGCTATCTGGACAAAGTTTAAGGTGTGACCTAATTTCAGGTGAGACGAAAATTACGCATTTAAAACTATAATTTTGTCTCTCTACCCAAAATTTCATCATAAATTCAATTCAATCGGAGCAAGGTCTGGACTTTTGGGGTGGTTGAGGGGAAATCTCACATTTAAATGAATGCACATTGTCATGCAAAGCCAAAACTCAACTTAGGTTGGCCATTTTGAAACTGAATGTGTAATTTTTTAATTCTTTCCGTTTTAGTGTTTATGGCAAACAAAACTGCATTACAACTGCACCACACAACTATCGGGATTTTCAATTAAAGCACACTTTTAGCGAATTTCCCATATAGGGAATTTTAAGCTATTACCGTAGTACTCATGGTAAGACCAGGACCCGGGACCGATTTTGTTTTGTTTTGAGGTCCCTAGAGGCCAAAAACACCATCCGTTCAAATTCATATATATATATATATACTTATATATATATATATATATATATATATTTATATATGTGTCCGTTAGCGTGATAACTCGAGCAAAAACAATCCGATTTTGATGAAATTTGGTACAAACGTGTAAACCTACGTTTATTCGAACGAGTTTGCGAACCAGCATGATCGGACCATAGGAACGGGGGTTTATGGGGGGTTTTATGGGGTAAAATTGGGTTTTTCCCACTTTTGACTCAAAAAACATAAAATTTTGCAATTTCTTTCCAAACTATTTTGTAGACTTTAAAAAAACAAATAATTTAGTATATTGAAGCGTTATAATGCACCTAATGGTTACGGAGAAAATTTCAAAAAATTGTAAATTTAAAATTCCCATGTTATTCTTATGGAGAATAAGTAAACTGTTGTAGTTTGCTTGTTTATTAACATTTTTTGCCCAAATTTGGAAAATGTTTTTATTTCTTACTAACTATTAACATTTTACATAAAAAACACTTTTACCCTCCCTGTTGCAGCAAACCTAAGTATGTGTTAAACTGATTCTATTTAAATAGGGAATAAATGTGATATTTTTAAGGAGACATTTTAGTGTAAATCCAATCAGGCAAATGGAAATTCGCTTAGTCTGCAGGTTTGCTGCGGCGGGGGTATTTAAACTTAAATATTGCAACAATAGGCAGCCCAACAACACTTCTGCCGTGAAGGTTGAGGAGGTGAACACGTCTATAGAAGAAAGTGTGCAATCAATTGGCGTCAGAGGGGAAGGTTCTTTTGACACAAACCAATTTTTGTCCGAGATCCGAAGTTCAATACTTTTTACTCAACCTGAAGTAAAAAAGTCTGGCTCGCAGACCCCTACCAAAATGTGGATCTGAAGTAGTTCCTCACAGAAAGTATATAGAGGGTACTTTTCAGACTAGACTGTCAAACAATTGATTTATACATTAAATTTTTTATCTGAAATTGCAATGTGGAGATTATCATTATGTAGTCGATGGAAATTAAGATAATGATTACTATAACAGAAAGGAGGTGCCAAATATAACACAAAAACTAATCCTAGAAACTGTCCCAAATATCTGTTGAATAACTTACCTGTGTTTTATCCCCTGAACGGAACACTGAGGACTAAAGACAGGGTCTGTGATCTGGTTAAGACAATGAGGATCCTCTAGACGAGATGTGAGCACCAGACGCTGGCCCTTCGGTCCCTTGGCCTGCACATTGTACTGCCAAAAATACCTTTCCTTCTTGGAGTGAGATCGAGGCACTGATTCACCATCGCTCATTGACTCTGTAATGACCCATTGACAAAGAAATATTTTTTTTTTTTTTTCAACTAAATAATGTTTTTAGATTATGTTGGTTTATGTCTTTATCATGTTTGTATTTCTACACAATATGTTTATAATTAACCAAAATTAAAAGCCAAAATTCCCAGTGCTGGATTTAGGGTACTTGGGGCCCTAGGCCAAATTACTTGAGCGGCCGCCCTCCCCCTGTGGTGGAAATTATTTGCGATCGCGGAAGTAATTGTGAATATATCCTATGCATCAAGGGGACATCATCATCAACACCCGTGATCATAGATGAAATCGTGGACATCTCTCCTAAATCAAGTCAAAGCCATCATAGGTATCCGTGACCGTGGCAAAATCATGAACATCCCCCGCGGGCTGCAACAAATAAACATCATACTTGACACTCGAGACCGCGGCGAAATCGAGATCATATTCCGTGAGCGACCTTGAGGACATTATCACCATCACCCACGACTGCAGTGAAATTGTGAACATCTCCCGCGGGCCGCAATCACGGGGTCATCATCATTGATTCTCGCAACCATGGCAAAATAATCAACATCTCCCGCGAAAGAGCTGCAATCACGGGGACATCATCATCAATACTCGCGACCGCAGCGAAATTTTTAACATATACTGCAGGCCGCAATCACGGGGACATAATTTTCATCATCGACACCCATGGCCGTAGCGAAATTGTGAACATCTCCCGCAGGCCGCAATAACGGGACATCATCATCAACACTCGAGACCGCGGCAAAATTGTGAACATCTCCCACAGGCCGCAATCACGGGGACATCAATCAATCAATCAATCAAATATTCTTTATTCAGTAAGTTTAGACAATATGTCTTGAATAGCGTCATTAAACTAACATAAACAAAAAATTGGACATCATCACCGTCATTCCACGGCCGTCGCGAAATCATGAACATTTCCCCGGTCCGCATTAACGGAGACATCATTATCGTCACCTGCAATCACAGCAAACTGATGGTTAAAAAAAACATTTATCTAAAAAAAAAATTTCAATCCTCTGCGGCCCCCTTTTACTTTAGTGGTAAATCCAACACTGAAAACACCCCCACCACAGCAAGCCTGTTGACTAAAAGAATTTTCACCTGGCTGGATATCCACTAAAGTATTCCCTTAAAATTTTCAGATTTATTTCCTACTTAATTTTAATGAGTAATTAGGTTTGCTGATAAAGGAAACGTATTGAGGTGTTTTTTAATTAAAATGTTTTTAGCTTAGTCATTGACTATATAAACACTAGTGTTTATATAGTCAATGGCTTCGTATGAAATAATCAAAAATCCATTAAAATATATCTATCTATGTATTAATACGCAAGCAGTTTTCTTTTCACAGTCATAGCTCGATAACGACTTGACGGATTTTAACGTTTGAGGTGTCAAATTAATGGTATTTTCACGTAGATGTGCAAATACTTTTCAGAGTATTAAGAAAGGGCATCACTTAAGTACAGTTAAGGGCTAAAGTTTGGGAACGGCGCCGCTATCTGTTGACATTAGATCAAACCATCAAACTCAATTCCCTTTGTTTACAACTAAACATATGGACGTAGCTTGAAATAGTTTTTAAGTTTAACCACAGACCGCAGGACTTATTTCGGAATTTTATATTTTATTTAAACATCTGTTAACTAAGTCTGGTTCATAAATAAAGAGTTTCCTAGCAAGACCTGACAACAAATAGTTTGTAATAGTTTGATTTATTTACCTTACATTGTATTTTACTGAATTATCATGTAGTTTTGGTTACAGTTTGGTGTGATTAGGTGAATGTTTGAAAGTGATTATTCACAGTCCAGTTACCCGTTACATTACCATATTATCATGTTATTTACAATGTGTATCAAAATTCCTTTGTAGTGTTTTCTGTTGATTGGTTAACTTTCGTGTTTTATCTAAATTTAAAATTAAATGCCACCAGTAATACGAAGAAATTTGAGTGGCTGGAGGGAACGCAAACGTGACCGCTTGCATCAACCTCCCAATTTGACGGATACAGAGTGTCAGTACTGCCGTGGTGATTCATCCAATCTCGGACAAATGAACGTTAAATGTTTACATTGTGGTGGCTAAACATTTTAAGCAAGGAAGACTGACCGAGACAGTTCAATTTTTACTCTTTGATGCCATAAATGAAAGGTTCTTTTACCTCATTTGTGGAATTCACCATACTTTCAGGAACTTATTGGAAACTCCCAATCTGAAAACAGGGCTATGTGAGGCTTGGATCCAGAAAGTATCTGGATAAAATTTGTCAATTCAATTCCACCTTTGCCATGGTCAGCTCTGAAGCTCATTTTGACGAGAGGGTCACACAGGAGATCTAAAATTTCAAGATCCATGACAAGTTTTACCAACGAGTAGGTAATATAATTCCTCAATAAGGGCATAGTCCTGAATACGCACAGATGTATAAGTACGACGTTGGGACTGGAATCCAACAGCGCATGTAAAAAAATTCATACAAAAAATGCAATGAACAAATTTGCGGGAAATAGGGTCACAATTTCAACCCATTTGCCCAATCTTTTAAAACTGTGGCAGAAGTTTGTAGGGACAAGAGCTCCGAGGAGTCAAGTTAGATTGTTATGTGCATAGTAAGATACAAAAGAAGTGACTTCCCTCGCTACAATGATGCTACCTGTATCGCAGATATTTTAAATCTGAAAACAGTAGAGCACCACCTGGCCAAATAAATCTTTGTTTATTTTTTTTTTCAAAAACTAATAATGTTCGTGAAACCGATCTAGATACGGTCTACTCTTTTGTTCTCAACTGGAGACTTTGGTTGGGGCACCTAATTTAAACACTCCTAAAACTGAACAAATCGTAAAGCTCACTTTACAGTGTGTGGTTGACATCTACGTTCTCATAGAGGGCACTCGCCTACAATACATAAGAGATAACCAAGGCAGTATGAGAACGGATCTATATTTAAATATTGTACCATATATTACTTTCATAATTTTTTCAGCATAATATTTTTCACGTTTCTACGAGTTTCAAGTCGTATAATCAGTCATTGAAATTACTTTAGAGTGACTCTATGATTGAGGTTTTGCTGTTTATGTTTTTTGTTCTTCATTATTTTATTACAAGTTGCAGTTTTGCTCGATTTTGAGCAACAGGTTACCTAGTAAACAAACAAACTACATCAGTTTATTTATTCTCCATAAACACAAGGGAATTTTTAATTACCACTTTTTTAAACGCTTCAATATACTAAATTATTTCTTTTTAAGGCTCTACAAAATGATTTGGAAAGAAATTTCAAAATTTCATGTTTTTAGGGTCAAAAATAGGAAAAACCAATTTTTACCCCATAAAACTCTGTTACTATAGTCCAATCATGCTGGTTCGCGAACTCGTTCGAATAAATATAGGTTTACTTGTTTTTACCAAATTTCATCAAAATCGTATAACTTTTGCTCAAGTTATGGACATATAAATATGTATTGAATACATATATATATATTTTCTTAGTATTTACACCAATGAGGGCTATGTTTATACGTAAATTAAAATACCAAAGTACCCTGAAAACATTTTACTTTTCACCATGATATATACAGTCTAACCTCAAGTAACGAACCTCGATATATAACAAATTCCTTAATATAACAATTTTTTTTAATCCCCTAGAACTTTCCATAAGAAACAATGTAAATTTCACCACTATATAACGAATTTATGAATATCAGAACCTCTATAGCGAACTTAACCTCTACTTAACGAATCAACTGCGACATCTCTCGTTATAACAAACGGAAACAAACGCAATTCGTGTCTAGACATGAACACTCGGTTACAGCGTCTAGCTTCCTGTCCTGTTTTATTCCAGATCATTGCGTCTGTCAGTGGCAGTGGATTGTGCAGTTTGTGTGATTCAAAGATTATGAGTAAGAACAATAAAAAGAAACTGTGCGTGTTAAGCGTGGATACTAAGCGTAAAATTATTAAGTGTGTTGAAGACAACCCAACAAAGAAAAATTTGGAAATTGCGAAAGAGTTTGGCATACCACCTAGCTTGTGGCTACAATTTTAAACACCCCTGCCGCAGCAAACCTGCCGACTAAGCGAATTTCCAGTTGCCTGAATTGATTTTCAATTAAATGTACTTAATTAACATTAGGTTTTATGAGTATATAGGCTTGCTGCTACAGGGAGGGTAAAAAAGTGTGTTTTTTTAGTAAAATATTAATAACTTAGTATAAAATAAATAAATGTACCAACATTGATCAAAATATATCCATAAACAAGCAAACTACAACATTTTACAATAATGTCCATAAGAATAACATGGGAATTTTAAAATAACATTTTTTTTAATCTTCTCCGTAACCAATAATTGTACAAAAACACTTTGGTATAGGTACTAAATTATTTGTTTTTTTTTAGCTCTTTAAAAAGGTCTGGAGAGAAATTGGGAAATGTTGTGTTTAGAGGGTCAAAAATTAGAAAAACCAATTTTTACCACAGAAAATCCCCCGTAAAACTCCGTTCCCATGGCCCGATCATGCTGGTTCGCGAACTAATTCAAGTTTATCCCGCCTTACACCTTAAAACCAAATTTCATTAAAATCAGACAAAAATTACTCATTAATTACTCAAAAATTATGGTGTTCACGGACACATATATAGGTATTCTATAATATTTGAACTTGAACGAATGGTGTTTTTGGCCTCTGGGGACATCAAAATGAAAAAGTAAATCGGTCCCGGGCCTAGGTCTTACCATGCCACCTACGGTAATAGCTACTTCCCTACAGGGAAATTCTCTAAATGGAAAGACAAGTTCTACGACGGTGATCTGTGTTCGGAAATCAAAAGGTTGAAGTCGTGTGAGCTTAAAGATGTAGAGGAGTGTGTTCTCAAATGGCTGAAGCAGTGCCAGGACAAAAATATTGCAATAAGTGGTCCAATTCTTCAAGAAAAAGCCCAGCTGTTTACAAAATTTAATTATTTTCAGAAACATTTGCGGTGAAAGTGCTAAAGACGACGATAGTGTTTGTTCCAAGTGGAAAGAAAAGCTTGTCACGCTAACAGAGGGATACAAGCCAGAAAACATTTATAATGCAGACGAGACGGGACTGTTTTTTAAGTGTTTGCCGGACAAAACCTTGTCATTTAAAAAGGTTTTTATAAATGCCATGGCGGGAATAACAGAGAAGATCACATTACTGTAATGTTGTGCGCAAACTGCACGGGAAGTCACAAATTAAAGCCTCTTGTAATTGGGAAGTCAAAAAACCCACGATGTTTTAAAAATCCGACTGATCTTCCTGCGGACTACATGGTGAACCTAAAGGCTTGGATGAACTGTGACGCTTTTACAAAAAGGCTCCGAAGTGTAAACAAAGAAATGAAAAACAAGAAAATTTTCATGTTTGTTGATAACTGCACGGCTCATGGAGACATTCCCAAACTCAGTAACATAAAAATCAAGTTTCTTCCCCCAAACACAACCTCGAAACTGCAACCACTCTACCAGATCATTATTCAAAGCTTTAAAGTGAATTACCGAAAAGAGGTTGTTCAACAGTTCCTGAGAGACATGGAAAGCAAACTTCCAACTAACATCAACATCTTGGATGCCATGTGGATAGTGACAAAAGCATGGAGCAAGGTCAGGGAGAGCACAATTACTAACTGCTTCAGGAAGAGTGGATTTCATGTTCCGACCTCGGAAGACAATACAGCACAGCCTTCCGCTCAAGCCATCGATGCTCCTGAGCATTGGGAACAAATACAAGAAGTGCTCAATCTACAAGAGGACACACTTCAACGACGACCTGGCTGTGTGTGGAGAGTTAACCGATGCTGAAATCATCTTCTCTGTGACGTCAGACGAGAATGCGGATGTGGAGGAAGATAACGACGAAGAGGAACAATCTGAGTTGCCTGACCCAACTTCAAAAGAAGCTCATCAAGCTCTAAACTTGCTAAAATGCTTCTTTCTTTAAAAGAGTGGTTTGTCTGACAGTGTAGTTAAATCTATCACCGACCTGGACTGCGCCATGGACACGTTGAACATCACTGCACGTAAGCAAACAACGATAACTGACTTCTTCTTTAGTAATCAGAGTGGAAGTGGCCAAGTAAGTGAAGTAATTGACAATGCCAACTAAATCCTAAATTCAGATTTAGAATGTTGAAAATAGGTTAGGCCAGGCTTATTAAAATACAGTACTGTAGAAAAGATTTTGTTTCCTTTTAAATTACTGTAGGCCTACTTTTATTTTCTGTTGTTGTTTATATGGTACTGTACTGTATGTATTTTCTACTGTTTTCTTATTTCTGTTAAATTTAAAACATTTTCATGTCATTTATATACTGTTAGCAAAAATGCACATACGCTCAACTCCCAATTATCCGGAATAGAGTAAAGTCGAGGCTTCCCGGAAACGTAAAATCGTGGTTTAATCAACAAAATATTAATTGAACAGAAAAGGGTCATTATTTGATAGGAATCACAATGAATAACACACATATTTAAACACAATGAAATAAACAAATTATGCAAAAAAATATGTAGGCTATAGTCTTTAAGATAAAATAAAATACAGTTCACTATTGACAAGACAAAAACTACCACAAATTACTTTCAGTTTTCTTTCTGCTTTTTAATTGGGAAATGTCTCTATCTGATTATAGCTTTCTTTTATGTTTCATAACACAGCTTTGTCTGCATTTGTAGAATTTCATTGCAAACGTATCGGGACGGGCAAGAGAGGAGAGGTCTATGACCTTGAGTAGGCCCGGCTCGAGACGAGTGATTTATGGTTTGTTTACCTACTAAGGCTTCCTACCTAGAAAGGACTGCTGTTTTAATGTTTAAAGTTAGTACCCTGCTATTTTAACAAAATTGACCCAACTTGTACGAAAACATTGACTTGAATTATAAAAGTCTCTGTCTGCGTTTAACTTAGCTTAATTTTCGTAGAATATGTCCCGGTTATGCTGCGACGCGAATCATCCGTTTACGGTTATAAATCGGGAGGTGAGTGTATTAAAATGTATTAACTGTATAGCCTGTGTTAGAACCAGACTTTTTGTTTTGAAGTGTACTTAAGTAGTATATTCTACTTGACCATCCGTGGTAAAATTATGATTTTATGAATACTGTACAGTGCATACGAAAAAAATAAATCAATGTTATATACCAAGAATGGTAGTATTATCTAATCTGCAACTTTTAAAATACAGTTAGTAGCATATGGTAAATGTGTTTTAATTACTTCACACCTCGACCAACATTTACCGATGCTGTTAGTGAACCTCGACATAGCGAATTTCTTACAAACCTAACCTCTATATTATAACGAACCTCGATTTAACGAAATACTTGATATAACAAATATTTAGTTCGGTCCCTTGAGATTTGTTATACCGAGGTTTGACTGTGTATGTATATATATATACAGTAGACTCCCTCTTATCCGGACACCTTTTAACCGGACATCGGATTAACCGGACTACACTCGGCGGAAATGACATCTGTTTAACCGAACAATTTTTATCAGCACATTGGTTTAACCGGACTAGATCGGCAGGAAGTGGGCAGTACTGAAACGACTGTTCTCTTGGGAAAGATTTGAGACCAGTGATCACGTGTCTAAATACAATGCTCTCCTAAATTTAAGTCGAATATCACAGTAAACAGTCTGTTTTAATGAGTTTTTGGGGACGTCGGTTTAACCGGAAAACCCGTTATCCGGACTGGCCTCGGTCCCGAGGAGTCCGGATAAGAGGGAGTCTACTGTATATATATATATATATATATATAAGCATAAGGGTTCATTAGATTTATATTTATTCAACCCAAGACAAAAATCTTAACTAAAGTAGATTAGAAACCAATCCACATTTCTTGATACCATAGTTTGGTACACTTCCAAACAAGAGCTTTATTCCCAAATGTTAAATGGCCATTTTTTCAAATTCCAAAACCCCAATGATTTTCGAGATATTTTGTAATAAGCTACCTGCGTCTGATGAAAATTCATCATAATGATCGCTGTCGTCTTCAGAGTCGAAACTTTCATCAAGTGAAAAGTCATGAGATTCAGGACTCAATACGCCACCTAGAATCATACATTAGTAAAAAGGATTATTGTTACTTTCATAACTCATAACAAAAGTACATATGGGAGACAATTAATTTTAAATACTAAAATCACAAAATTGAGATTTTTCCAATACTTTGCATCCACATTTTAACATCTTTGGTTAATTTTTATTTGAAAATCATGCTAATGGTTAAAGTTAAGTTTTAATTTAAAAAAAACCTTTTAGACAATAACAACTAAGAACCACAGAGAACTAAATAAGAATAGAGTAGATGTCCCAATATGAATGGCATTGAGACAGTTGAGGTAAAGTCAGCCATTTTGGCTGTGGAAAGTTCTCCCGTCGCCGCATTTTATTCCGACTCTTGTTAGAGAAAGTGATTTTCTTAAACTAAGATTTAAATTATTTGCGATCATCCAAACGACTTGAAACTTCGCAGGTTTATACTGCATAATACAGAACGTGTAATGAAAAATATTTAATTTATATTTATATTATTGGTAAAACTAGTTTTAAACATGAATTAAAAAAGTAAATCAGTAGAATGACATGAAAACTCGACTACTACTTTTTTAATGTTTTGGTCAGGTAAGTTTTGTGAGAAAGTTATAGCCAATGAAATGAACTTGAAACATCAAATTCAAAATTAAATTCTCTTTATTCATTCACTGCACAAGTTTTTATACAATGAATAGCGTCAAATAAATATAAAGGCGAATTATGCCTTACTTATCGCCAAAACAATCATTATCTTTAAAATACAAATGTTAAGCTTAAGAAGAATAAACAACACAAAATTAAATGAAATCATCTTTTTAAACTATCATTTATGATTTCTCCTCTATTTATCAATTCCAAAATTCATCCAAAGAATACAAAGACAATGAAAGGAGATAATTTTTCAATCTTTTTTTAAAAACATCAAAACTTTTTTCCTCTATTATAATTTTAGGTAAATTAAATAAGAATTTTATGCCAATGAAACTACATTTCTTAAAAAAAAAAAAAAACTTTAATTTATGTCGTTCAACCTGCCTAGTAAGCCTTAATTTATAGTGTAGAATATTTGTACTATTAGTTTGGAGGTTTAATTTTTTTACATGTAGTATAGTTTCATAAATATACAAGTCATAGACTGTCATAACACCTAATTTAGAAAAGAATGGTTTTATTGATTGGTGTTTATTTTTAATTTTGAAAATAATTCGGAGTACTTTTATTATGATGAAGAATTTTATCCAAATTTTTCTGAGTAGTTCCTCCATAAATTGCTATACCATAGGATATGTGAGAATTTATTAATGCAAAGTATATGGTTTTTAAAGTATCAATATCACACACCCTTAGTATTTGTCGCAGGGCATATGTACCTTTTGACATTTTATCAATTACATGCTTAACATGCTTATCCCAATTTAGGTTTTGATCCAATATCAATCCGAGAAATTTTATGTACTCCACTTGACTCAACTTTGAATTATCAAGGTAAATATTCGGGTTCAATTTAGATCTTGATTGTTTTGTGGAGAATGATATAAAATTTGATTTGATATAAATTTGATATGGTACTGTAATTTATTAGGAGATTTTTGCAACTTGAGAAATAACTCATATTTACATATTTTACATCATCTCATATCTCATATTTACATCATATCAACTTTTCTTTCTAGCGGTTACAGTTTTCTCCGTAACCAATAACCGTACAAAAACACTTTGATAAACTTAATTATTTGTTATTTTAAGCTCTTTAAGAGGCTCTATAGAGAAATTGGGATTTTTTTGTTTTGAGGGTCAAAAATGAGAAAGACCAATTTTTACCCCATAAAACCCCGTTCCCATGGTCCAATCATGCTGGTTTGTGACTCATGCCTTACATGTTCAAACCAAATTTCTTCAAAATTGGACAAAAATTACTCAAGTTATCGTGTTCACGAACACACATATATGTAAATAAATAAAAGTTCAAAGGAATGGTGTTTTTGGCCTCTGGGGATATAAAAATGAAAAAGTGAATCGGTCCCGGGTAGTGATGTCTCGAAACCAAATCTCAAATCTCAAAACCATCAAAACTTTGGAAAAAACTTTGGTTTTGGTTTTGAGATTTGATAGGTGGTTTCAAGATTCAAAAGTTTCTAAATAGGAAGTTTTGGCACTTAAATTTTTTAAATGATGAAATTTTTTGTGTCATTATTATTGTTTATAACATTGTTTATACAGAAAAGCTGGTAGCAACGGAGCAAACACATCTCCATTAACACTGTCACTAATGAAACAAGTAAATTGTATTCTGAACTGCAAAAGGCATCTTAAATACTGGAACAACTTACAATTCAGTTTCATATCGATACTTATTAAACACAAAGAAATATTGACCACTAAATGTTCTAATTAATGTAATATTCATGTTTATTTCAATGTCAAGAGTTTTATTTATTATTTTAATGTTGGTTGTTTATAAAAAAATATGTTATTTTTTGGAGTTTGAAATTTATTTGTCACATATTTATGTTCTTCTGTCTGGATCAGGAGTCAATCTCTTTCAGTTTTGATCGCATAATAATAATGAAAATGTTATCATTACCTGTATTTTTTTTAGCAACCTTTGACCAGGTAAAGTTTCGGTTTTGGTTTTGAGATTAAAAATTTCTGGTTTTGACCATCACTAGTCCCGGGGCCTAGGTCTTACCGTGCCACCTACGGTAATAAAATTTGAAACAAATAGATGCTCATAATCTAAACAAATAGACCTCTATCTCCTAACAAAAATGATGTCCTATTCCTCAAACAAGGGAGTTTTGTTGACAGTCAAACGTTTGCTAAAAAATTTAAAACATTCAATCGTCAAGATTAACCACAGGTGATCTGTTATTAGGTTTTAACTACCTTTTAACTACCATGGATATTAAATGTTAGTAAACCAATTAAACCATACCACATACCAGTAGAAAGTGATGACGTAGAGCCACCCTCCGCCAAGGAGCTAGTAGACAACAGGTGAGGACGAGGTTCTCTGCGTTGCCAAATCTGCTCAAGACCGAGGTGAGTGGGAGCAGAGGAGGAGAGGCGAGACTGTGAATACCTTGGGTTGCGAATCACTCCTCCCATACTAGATGATGGCCCTGGGACAGACTGGCCTAGAGGGGAACTCATCTCCTTCTTCATCAACAATTCGTGCAAAGTACTGTGTTTATGCTGTAGAGGACTAATGGGCTTGGGAGGAGGGGTGCCCGACGACGGAGCTGAATGGACCTGAAGTGATGAGCTAGAACTGTGGTGACTAGAAGGAGATAAGTTCTTCTGGTAAATGGGTGTACAACTAAATGGATTGGAAGGTACACTGGATGAAAATGAATCTTTATAAAATCCTATTCCATCAGGAGGAAAAGAAGAGGCACAATTCTGTCCCATAACTGTCGGTGTTGAATTGGTTACCAACAAAGAAGGGCTGACTCTTGTACTCAATGGCTGTTGAGGTATTTGATTGTACACATTTTCATCTGGCAAAAGGAGTTCATCAAAATTCAAATCGTCCAAATCATTTAGTCCAAGAGTTTCATCATTGGCATTGAGCTCAGCGAGTGTAGGTCCTTGAATCAGATCTGACTTATCTACTTGGAAAATATCATCATCTTCCATTTTTATGGGATCTGAATCAGGTCCTGCTATTTTAGTCCCCCAGAGTGCATTTCCGGAGTATATAATAGGATTAGGTGAGTTAATTTCTTGAAACATATCCATGTTACTGCTTGATGATCTATTATTGGCCTCCAATTCAAAATCTCTTAGTTCGGACATATCCATAGCCCTTCTTGTTGGAATAGGTACACTTGCAGTGTGTAATAATGAATCCAAACCCAATGAGTCTGGCTCCGGCTTCATGGCAAAGTTTGAGTCGATAAAAAAATCACTTGAAAAGCCTTGATCAGTCATTGTGGGTATACAATGTTGTGTACTTCAAGAGTGTTATCTTGTTATTTTAAACTTGATAATTACATTTTCTTTCCTGAAAAAAAAAAAACAATACAGTAATACCATTGACTATTGATAAAAAAGCTGGTTACATGTCTAGGGGATGAAATGTCTAGTTGTATTGATAGTCATAGGTAATACTTTGTTATATACATTTAAAAAATAATTGGGCTTGATAAAATACCGTGAATTAAAATTTATTTAACAGCATTCCAAACTTTTAATTAGAGTAATTTATATACTCTTTAAGTTATCATTCTTTTGGGTAGGTAGGTAAAGAATACTTCAAAGAAAAACTGAAATTGACTTTACGTCGTTATGCTTTAGCCTAGAAATGCATTTGGCTTCAAGAGAGTTAACAAGAAATAATAGAGTTTAGGGGGCAAAAAAAGAAGATAGGGAGAAGTGGGGCAAGTGGAACCAGGTTTTACCGTAGTTCGACTTTGACCCTAATTGGCTCAATCAATATTAGGCCCTATACAAAAAATTGTAAAATTAGTTGTAGGCTACAATAGCTACATAAACTAAGTAAGTGATTTTACAACTAATTGTCTTTATAAAAAACTAAGGTTTATTTTGCTAAAAAGTGTCTTCAGATAAATAAATAAAAAGAGTTTTTGTTTATGGTTCCAATTCTCTCACCATGGGGGCAAGTGGAACCTGCTCTCTGTATTCTTACACAGATGCGTTGAGAGGAATAAGGGGCAAGTGAGTCTTTTAGAGAATGTTGCTGCAATTCTGGGAGTTTTTCTATTTTAATGTTATATCCATCCATATCTAAGTTACTTTTTCGTAGCCTTTGGGGTACAATTTCCTAAAGTACAAGGAAATAAAAAATTTCAAAACCTTATTAAATTTGAAAATTAAAACATATAAATACTAGGATTGCTTTCATAGCAATGAAAGCCAGTTGAGCGGAGCAATCATGGTTCATGGTTTTTAATAAAACAATAAGTGAACAAATGTTTATAGGTATAATAGGTACAAAATACAAATGTCCCCACACTCTGCACTGCTAGCCTTTACTACTTCCTTCACCACTTCCTACGTCGAGGATCTGTTTCCCTCCCTTACCATAGCATTTTAATACTTAGATACATTAATCTAACTGCCCCTTAGCGTTCCCACACCTTGCACTGCAAGTCTTTACAACTTCCTTCACCACTTCCTTGAGCAAGCATAACAATAGATAGAAATTTGGTAACAATAACAATCGATGATATACTACAAGAAAACATGCGACTAGATAACAATAAAAGATAATACATACATAAAGATTTTGTGATTTTTTAAAGTTATGGCACTAATTTTTAGTTTTACTATATAAATCCTTTGTGAATGATTTTAATTATTTAGTTTATAATTTTTTGTTTATGTTAGTTTAATGACGCTATTCAAGACATATTGTCTAAACTTTATGAATAAAGAATATTTGATTGATTGATTGATACATCAATAGTACATGCAATAGCTATACACCAGTAATAGCAGAAAATAATGATTAGAGAGATAAGGTAACATTTGACAAAAAATGTAATATCACACAAGACCTGTACAACTAAATCACAGCAGAATGAGATCACTGTTCCTCAAGAACCGAAGACGCAATTCTCTTGATAACCCGTGGACCGCAGTCAAAGAAGTCCACATAAGGACAGAGCCGATAACCAAGTCGATGAAGTCCAGGCAGAGGGCTATAAAGTTCATAGTTTGTGGAACAGTGTTGGCGAGCAAACAGCACATTGGATCGAGTGGATCTAGGTGGGGGAACATGGGTCAATCAGCGCAAGCCGATCAGGGCAGTTGATTCTATCTAGAACACAACCACCCGCTGATTGATGCACAGCATGGCTTTAGGAGGGGTAGATCAACTACCAGTACCTTACTCAGCCTTATGAACACTATAATAGATGCATTTGAACATAAGTCTTCAGTCTTGCTAAGTCTATGCGACTTAAGCAAGGCGTTTGATTGATGTAGTGTCACATAATGTGCTTATTTCAAAAATGACAGAATATGGAATTGGTGGTACAGCTCTAAAAACAGTTTCTAGCTATCTTGCTAATAGAAGACAGCTGGTTACGGTAAATGGGGCCTCGTCCAGTATTAAAAGTTTAACCCATGGGGTACCGCAGGGTTCGGTGATTGGGCCGCCGCAATTCTCGATCATATGATTAATGACGTTTGGCTTAATGGCTCTACAGTGCTTTTTGCAGATGACACCACGCTCATATCTAGAGGGTGTGATATTCTACGATTACGGACTGAAGCCCAAGATCTCCTTGAACAGGCCAAAGTGTGGTTCAATATGAACAAACTCAAGCTTAATGACGAGAAAACCAAGTCGATCTGTGTACTCTGAAGACGGATGCAAGGGAGGAAAGTGCTGTTAAGCTATTGGGTTTTTGGATTGACCCGAAATTAACCTGGAATCACCATCTCAGGTATGTGTCAAGTTGTCTAGAGTGTGTCTTCTCTTCTCAGAGAGCTCAAATCTGTGTTGACTAAGTCACATTTGGTAACTGTCTACCAAACGCTCTTTCACAGCCACCTTGCGTATGGGATTGTGGTCTGGGGACATTCAACAGATACTCAGGACCTACTACTTCTTCAGAAGAGGGCCGTTAGGATTGTGTCCAATTCTGGCCAATTTGACTACTGTATGGCCTTTATTCATTGACTTGATGATCCTCACCGTTTTCAGTCAGTACATCTACAGAACCGCAGGGGGCTCACGCTTGCGTGGGTTCGTGGCCTGGGCGACCACGCGGACCCTAGCTCTCCCAGAGGGGAGGTAACTGCCCGGTGTCAGACCCGGCACTTCAGGTAGACCACAGTTATGGACGACTGGTAAGCGCCAGCCCCTTAGGGGGAGCCTCCAGTGACATTCCCTCCATGCAGGGTGGGGGGGGGTGTTTAGCTCTCAGTGACGCCGTTAATTCCGCCTCTCCTCAACTACCTGTAACTGTGGTTGTGACTGAGTCCTACCTGTTGTGTTCGACTGACATTTTGTGAGGCATATCCTCGACTTTGGAAGTAGCCTCGTCCTGGGAGGTGAAATACCTAGCCCCCAGAGGGGAGGTAAATGCTCCGTGTTGGTATCGGCATTTCAAGTTGGCCACAGACATGGTCGACTGGGCATCGGGTCCCAGTGACATTCCTTTATCCAGGATGGAGGGGTGTTTAGCTCTAGGAGAGATGGAAGTACATCATAATCTCTAACCTACCTGTGTCTGTGGTACTTTGGGCTTCGGCCTGCTTGTGGTGTGCGACCAGCATTCAGTGGGCAAATCCTCGACTTTGGAAGTAACCTTTCCTGGAGGTGAAAACGGGCAAGTACCCGCAGCTCACGGGGACACTCAAGGGCAACGTAACTTTCCGCAGTGTGAGGGCAACGGTTTGTAGGTACTTATGCAAACCTATCCCTGTCTCTGAGCACGGACGGTATGGTTATCTTGAGTGTGGGGGGTTCTTCCCGGAACCTCAATTGAGTCAAGGGTGTCGCCACCTCTGGTGGATAGGTTCATCCGGGTGGGTCCCACTTCTATACCTGCCTCCTTTTGGGAAACCCTGATGGCCTGGCAGTGATGTTGGGTCTGACGGGCAAACGAAGTAGATCGCGTGCTGGGTCCGAGCCCGCCAGGGGTATCTGGGGATCTATCGCTCTGGATATCTCTGGTTCCCAGCAATGGGTCAGGCCTCGATCGGGCAGCGGTGTAAATGGGAGGTTGGGGTTCCCCCTGTCAGCGTGCTGATGGTCCCCTTCCTCCTGGCTATTGATGGCGGGTTCTGCCTGTCAGGGATGAGATAGGTCCCGAGTGTTGCTTGCACTAAATGCGTCGGGGCGCTCTACTATGGACCTCTAGGTTCCGACCTAGTGGAACCCAGGTGGAGTGACGCTTAAACAAGCAGCCGGAATCCCTGGTTAGGATTGAGGGGCAACCCTCTTTCCGAAGGGTCTGCTCCGGCAGCCGGCGAGCCTGATGACCTTAAGTCATCCGCCCATGATGTGCTAAAGGTTGATGCGTAAGCTTCGGCCTACATCATGGGGCCCGGGTATGTCCTGTAGGATAGGTACCGGGTAAGCAGTCAGGGGGCTTCGGCTCTCATGACAACAAATAATAATAATAATAATAAGTACATCTACAGCTTCTTAACTATGCTAAGAGTAAACCTTGAAGATTTTAGGAAAAGAGGGAGCCATCATGACCACAGTACCCGTAGAGCTGGTGATTTGGACATACCCCGATGTCGTCTTGGTATGACACAGCGAGCCTATCCTCAGTACGACCACAACATCATTGACTAACAGGGAGAATGGCCCAAGATGAGAGTCCTGTGGCACTCCAGAGAGAGCAACAAAAGAAACAATGCATCCTTGAATTTAACTTTGAGAGATCTGCCACTCAACTACGAGCTGAACCATCTGAGTAGACTGCCACTGATCCCGTACCCCTCCAAATTTGCGATAAGATGATCATGGCTGACAGTATCAAATGCCTTTGAGAAGTCCAAGTATATGCATTCAACCTGGCTTCCTGAAGCTAATGCAGAGGTGACTAGAGGAGACGATCTCCCCGCTATAAATCCATGCTGTTCAGGGATCATCAGAGATTGTAGGTGGAACATAAGTTTGTCAATGAGAAGGCACTCAAAAACTTTGCCCAGAGCAGGTTTAATAACAATTGGCCGATAATTTGTGAACCTCCCTTGGACTTCTCGCCTTTACTACTTCCTTCAGCCCTTCCTATGCCGTGGACCTGTTTAAGTATGCTATTTATGAGATGATCATAATCTCTAACCTACCTGTGTCTGTGGTTCTTTGGGCTTCGGCCTGCTTGTTGTGTGCGACCAGCATTCAGTGGGCAGATCCTCGACTTTGGAAGTAACCTTTCCTAGAGGTGAAAACGGGCAAGTACCCGCAGCTCACGGGGACACTCAAGGGCAACGTAACTTTCCGCAGTGTGAGGGCAACGGTTTGTAGGTACTTATGCAAACCTATCCCTGTCTCTGAGCACGGACGGTATGGTTATC